AAGTCAACTGCCTAACTGTGCGTTCACACCGCCGCCGTCGAGAGTATCAAAAATCGCTCTGGCCGCCCTGCCAACAACGCTGTAGAAAGATTTGCGGACGCTCTGAAGTAGATTGAATGCTCATCTTGTATTTAAAGAGGTCGCAAAGCAAATAAGTTTGTTGATCTTGTGCAGACTGACCACAAGGAGGGTAACGTTATCAAGTCAAGTCAAGTCAAGTCGAAATGCTTGGTGTTAAAGATATAGCCTCCATAAATAGCACACTAGTGTTCTCGTTAATGCATCTCTTTCTGACCGAGACAGATCTAGATTCAGTGGTAGCAGAGATCAATATATCAAAGAAAATGCAGAAGTGATCAGATAGTGCAACGTCCTTAATAACAATGGATGAAATGTTTAGATCCCTACTGATGATTAAATCTAGAGTATGTCCACGGTTGTGTGTCGGTTCATGCACAGGACAAATGCTATACAATGTTTTTCAGATACAGTACTGTCTGCATCCAGCAAATATGCATTTTAAACATGTTTTTGAATATCTAACTTTGGAAACTTCACCAAATCCAGCTGTTAGATTAGCCTAACTATAAATTCTTGATTTCAAACCATGCTGCGCTATATACATTTGGCCGTCGTGTCATATTCATGTCATATTCACCGTGTACTGCATGTAAAATTAGTGTCAGCTGGTCTATATTTGAGAAAATATGATTCCCAGTGCACACACGGTTACCAGATTACCAAGTGTACGTTTGATTAGTGTGTTTACTTCATTCATGTTTTTTCATTAACTTTATATGTTAAAAATGCTACAATAGGATTACAGAATCAAGAAGTTGTCATCTAAAAGTATAAATTTGATTAATCTACAGATTTATGTTTAATCTAGGTTCAAATATTTCTAATTATTTTAGTAAATATTATGTAAAATACATATAAATATTGCAGAAATTGTTGTGCATGTGTTATTTAATGCCTTTAAATTAAATAGTGTGATTTTGTATTGGCATATAGTCATAGTCACCCAATCAGATTTTAGGCAAAGAAAGCCCTTACCAAACATAAAATAACTCCAGAAAATTACTGTATTTTTCTTTTATTAGCTGAAAACAAAGGCATGTTATACACCTACATTGTGGCTTCAGTCTGAAAGGTTGACAATCGCATAAGTGATAAAAGGCAGAAATATTTGCATACTATAAGGGTGCAAATATGGGTTTAATATATGTATCTTCATGAATATGTATCCTCATATTTAATTGTAGGTCTGACTGATTTTAAAGTGTAATTTTGGCCACCCCTGAAATAGGTCATAACACATTGAAATAACCTGAGAAGTTGAATTAAATATGCTAGAAAAACCTGCTCCTCCAAGAATGTGCATTTATTGCATGGACGGAGCAAGATCATGATGAAAATGTTTAAAATGCATGTGTGCAGTTCAGTTGAAAGCTTGCCCTCTTTGACTTGCTGTTAATGCCGTTATACTGAATGTAAGAAGCAAACTGTCTGCTTAACCACCATATAAACAACAACAGTGAAATAAGGACATGCGGTTTATCTTTCAATCGATGTTGCGTTCGCTACTATAGTAACAGCAGACTGAAATTAAGATAAAGATATCATGTCATGCAGCGGTGTGTTATAAAATGTCTGGTATAAATAAATATAGTTATCAAGAATAATGCAATGCACCAGTGTAGAAAATATGAGCCAGAAAAAGAGGACAAAGTTTTTCACAATTCAGTGAAGAAAAGTTTAGGATTAGTTGGAAATTAATTGATTGATCTGTCCGTCTGTCTATCCTCCATGCAGAGCTGCAGACATTGCACCAACGTTTAAAAATAAAGAAATACAAAAATATCTGAAAATCTTTTAAATATCATCCAACCAAGACATATTACTGGGAGATATTGAGTTCTATACATTTAATGTAAGTAGTCTGCAATACAGTTATAAAGAACTCACTGATTTACATCACATGCTATCAGAATTCCATCTTACTTTTGGGCATATAAATATCAGCAGCTGCACAAAATTGCTTATTTTTGCTCAGCTTGGGCCTCTGAATAAAACTGAGGTGCTTTTTCCTTGGGAGTATGAGCTCCACATTCTTTCTCACTATATCATACTATATGAGCCATAAAAGCCTGATGTATCAAATATGATACTCAACAAAAAAAAACAACACATACTGTATAATACTCAAAAAACAAACAAAAAAAAATCTGATTTTTCTGACCTAATGCATATGTCAGGCTTTCCAGGGTAAACATATTCAAATATTACAATGAAAAATATTTGTAATTGTCATTTCACATCACAGTGCATTATAGGATTATTCCCTCTGCTATGGATACATGCAATTCTGCCAAAAGAAGGCATTTCCTTTTGGAACCCCTTTGTGTCAGGAACGTGCTGCCTATGTAGGCAGCTCCCTAGATTTTGGAACAAAGCCTAAGTGACACAAGGAGAGGAGAGAGAGACGGAGACCTTTAAAGGTCTGGTTTGTAAACCACTTCCTAAAGTCTGCGCTCTTTACAGCTCTATAAAGCTCTCATTAGCTCAGCCTCTGATGGAGCGCTGCAGGGACGCACGGTTTGTTTATTCCTTAGAAAGCAGCGAGGCTGGAATAAACCCTGGGAATCTCGCTCGAGACTAGACTTGTGCCGGTATTCGGTAATGCGATATATCACGGTAATGAATATGCACGATATTGTTATCGTGGGCACTTCTAAATACCGTGAATAATTATATATAACAAATTATTCAGAATTTTGAATGCATTTTAAGAATACTTTTCCCATAAACTGGTCAAAATGCACAACACCGCTGTATGCTGCCTGAAAGACGCATGCGCACTCTGATGTAAATAAGCACTCTGATGTAAATAAGGGCGGACGAGAAGCACATGGCGGAACATGTGAGAGACGCTCTGTATACTACATTTCAATATCGTGATAATACCGTATACCGTGATAAAAGCATTAGCAATTAATCGCAACATGAAAATTTGATACCGGCGTATCCCTACTCGAGACAAATGCGTATGCGTTAAGAGAGGGCAAGTCAGACAGTGAAAGTGTATGCGTGAGTGACACACATAAACGTATCTTTATTTAGCTAAGCCTCTGTTTAAGACAGACCTTCCAATAAAACTCTTTTTTTCATGTCTAACTGAAACAGCCTATACAGGGCTAACTTTAGCTCAAGAGCCAAGTTTTCAAACACACATGTTGTGACTTCAGCTATGTAAAATACACACACAAACACACCACATCCTGTTTCAACTGCTAATGCACACAGTCTGGTCTGAACTTAGGCCAGGTCGCTGTCATGGTAACAAGGTGGGTCAGCTTCGTCTGCAACCTGGCCACATGCTGCATGCTAGCAACACACACACAAATGAGCTCTGACGTGGGCAAATGTGGTTACAGTTAAGCTCAACACAACCCTGCATAGCGTCAGTATGGATTAGTGTCTTTAACCACTCCCGTTTGTCATTACTTACATTCACAAATGAATGTAAAGTGATATAAGTTAGCATATTACGTGCGATGCATTTGAGTGTGAAGCATAGGGCCATTGCAACCACAAACGCTGACCACACACACACACACTACACTACAGTATTTCTTCAGCCAATTTGTTTATGTAATGTAAAGCACATTCGGATCATGAAAACAGGAAACAAACTCTTTTTTTTCTCTATTGTGCACTAGATGACTGAGGTCACCCAATAAACGCCTGAGGAACAAGCAAACTCTCTCTGTATTCTGATAAGACCAAGCAAACACAAATTAACAAAAGTATCATTTTTGCAGAGGAAAATAGTCAAACAAGTTAGTACAACAAAGGCAAATGTTTAAAGAGTGAGAAGATGGTATCGGATGCTAGCAACTTTGTTAGTCTTGTTTATAAACTTATAAACTGAAGTTGTTTCTTGTCAAAATCTGTTTTATGTAATGGTTTAAAGACTTGTTGTGTTTCATTTTAGTGTTTAACTAAGATGTGTATCATTTGTTTTTCAAACTGTGATTTGACTCATTTGATGAGAAAAAGAAACAAACAAAAAGAAAAAAGACAAAAAGAAAAAGAAAAAACATCACCGTAATCATTGTTATAATGGTAAGTAGATCAAGTCAAATATTTTTTATAGTTACGCAAAACATGAAAACTAATGTAAAACATGTTTGAATAGCAAACCAATCCAAGAAACATAAACAAACCCCACTTACATTAAAGAATCTGTAAGAGTACAGCTACTAAAACTCAACAAATGTGTGTTTGATAAACAAATAAAAGATTGTACGTAATTTTAATTTGAGAAAATTACTAGCAATTTCTGAGTGAAAATTATTTTAAAGAAACACATGAAAGTTTGAACTAGATTTTGAACTGACAGTAAAGACTTTTACATTGTTACAAAAATCTTTAAATAAATGTTCTTTTAAACTTTCTATTCAAACAGTCCTTAAGTATTAACGTTTTCACAAAAATATTAAGCAACACTGTTTTCAACAGTGATAAGAAATCAGCATATTAGAATTAAGTGAATTCATAGCAAAGAATAGTGCATTAGTATGTGAGACGGGGTGCACCTTGCAATTTGGAGAATGCAGTCAGTTTTCCGTGCAAAAAGAACATTTGCATACTGTGCACAGTACACATACTCTATGCTGCAGAAATAGTGAGATAGTATGCTATTCTGAACATAGCCACAGTACACACACTGATTGCAAACAAGAAGTCTCAACAGAGAACGGCCTGTCAAAATGTTTGACAAGTACATGTCAGCGCACAAATCACAAGACTCACAAAAACGCTTGCACACGGGAAGATAAAATAAACAAAATAACATTAAGCAATAGCTGTGTGACCCGCAGGATGAAGATGCCTGCCATACAAACACATAAAACTAAAGACAAACACGTTGAGATGTCGGACAATCTGGTGGCAGGGTTATCCTGGAAGTAAACGGTCCCGACTATGGGTGTTCAGAGTGCCCGAGCCAGACCGAAGAGTCAGCGTTATTTCAGTGCGATTATGACAAAGCTCAGTTTCAGTGACCACTAAAGATTCAGTGTCTCTTTAGAAAATCCCAGGGTAATCTTCAAGTGAATTGCCACGGTCAGCTGACCTGGAACCACAAGGGCTCTTTGAAGTGTGAGGTATTCCAACACACTAGGTTGTGCCATTATGGCCCCCTCAATTTTCCAATTAAGTCCAATCAGCACACCAATTAATCATAACAAACCATGATCTCATGAGTGAGCCATTATTGTTCTTCAACGAGGTCAGTGCCACTCCTGTTTAGTCATTCCTCACTCCATCCGTGACCTCTCTGCGTTCAATCCCAGAATGCATCTGGACATTCTTGCAACAGCTGGCACTCCACTGGTTTGAATGAGATTAGGGAGCTGACGCAGAGCAGGCCACGCAACAGGAGGGCCCACCCGCCCTGTCCTGCAGTGGCCAGGGATCAGAGGTCATGGTCAACCCGGCAGCAGTGGAGAGGGTGTGAATGTGTGCAAGAATTGTGTCAACGTTTGTGCGTGCTTGGGCAAGATGTTGTTAGCATTCCCTCTACTACGGAAAAGATAAACATGTGTTGAAGTGTGTTAACCTCCCCCGCCGCCCGTGCGTCAGCTCCAATGCCTGTCAAGAGTTTGAGGCTATCAGCAAAAGGGAACAGTTGAAACTGCGAACAAAAGAGTAAGTCTTTGCGAGGGTGGATAAACGTGGAATGAGGATAGAAGCAGAACACAAACAAACAAAGGCCATCAGGGAGTTAGGAGATACATCCAGAACATTTAAGGAGCTGGAAGGTGTCCATGCGCTGTAGGCCAACATATGACAGAGATTAATGACTGGAATAGAAGACTGGAAGGAGAAAAAGCACAGAACTTCAGTGCCCCCTAGTGAACCACCTTGACAGGACAAGTACACTAAGATTTCCAACTTCCATTCTGTCAGACAAACTCTATTTTGAAGGTTGACCGATTGTAGAATAAGTTGCCTCTACATGAAAGTGTCTTTTAGGCCATTTAGTATGAGCAACTTCAAATATTAAACAGCAAAATCTTGCAATGTCAACTTTGGTCAAACTAACAGGCTGAGTTTGATCACTGATCACCCATAATCTCTTGCACTTAAAGGAGACATATAATGCCCCTTTTTACAATATGTAATATAAGTTTCTGGTGTCCCCAGAATGTGTCTGTGAAGTTTCAGCTCAAAATACTCCACAGATCATTTATTGTATCATTTTGAAAATGCCTATTTTGAGTGGAAGCAGAAACACGCTGTTTTTCGGGCCTGTGTCTTTAAATGCAAATGAGCTGCTGCTCCCCGCCCCCTTTTCCAGAATAGAGCTGCGCCATTACAGCTCGTATCTGCTAAAAACATCTGTTTTGGTTCTGATTATCATGTTTATCGCGCTGAAATCATGCGTTTTAAACCAGATTAGTTTAAACTTTTGACATACGGTTTTCTGAGTACACACATCCGAAAGTTTACGTTAAAAACACACGAGTTACAAAAACAGTCGGTTATGTC